CCCCAGCCGTATGTGGCTGTGCGTGTCGTGCTGCTAACCGGCTGTGTCACAGCCGAGCATTGACCGTCGGGGCTGAATTGGGGCAATTCAGACTTAGAGGGGCTAAAATGGTTACGGCTTAGAGATCCGACCTTGTGGTGGTTTAAAGAAGAGAAAATGTTTTTTAGTCCTTATACACATCCGCACTAGGCAGATAATTGGAGAGTGCAGTTCTATCTTAGCATTCAGTTGTGAAATGCTTCGCAAGGCACAGAAATTAACTCTCTGTGGGATGCCTGTGCCAGCCCCCATGCTTGCTGGAGTACAAAAGGACACTCTTGTGTCCTCCAGGGACTTTCAAGACCATGAGAGGGACAAAACCAAGTTTTGCTTGCTGGAACAGTCTTGGCAGAAGTTAATTTCAGGACTTTGGAGTCCTGACTTTGGAGTCATTCCTTGGAATAAATCCATGTTACCTTGTGATACTGCTCACATTCCTCAGTGCTGTAACTAATAACACGTACAGGGCAATACTAGGAAACTCGGTCTACTGGAACACCCAGTGGTTCTGATGATTACCCCTTTCTGAGATGTTTTTTAAGTGTCTATTTGCAGCTATTTAGTCTTCAAACAAGTTCTTTGAAGTCTTTTATACCTAAGCCATTACTGCAAGCAGTGAACTGGGACTGGATATGCCCTGAAACAGTTTCCCCTTAAGTCTTTCCAAGCACCCTCACCATGAGCTCCAGGTTGCTGCTGTACACCAGCACCTGAGCTGCCCAGCCATGCCTAGTTTCTAGACGTGTTTGACTGGAATTATTTAATGGAAAAACGAGCTGCAAAGAGCTGCCTATCAAAATAGTGTTTGTATGGTTTGTGCTCTACTTGAGTCACGCTGCAGTGCTCCGGGGAGAGTGGTGCACATGCCGCAGGGACCTGAGGGGATGCTGCCCCACTGCTCCCTGGGGGAGCACACCAGGCAGGACCCCCCACCTTCAGCCATTTCACACATGACAGCTCTCACCAGTGTCTCTTCTTCGGAGTTTGCTACTTAGGAGACCCTCTCTGGCCCACTGCTTGGCAAAGGACTGGTCCATAGACTTCAGAAAGAAATGCCTAAAACTTCCCAGGCTCGTAAATCTGCCAAATTCTGCACACTCCCTAAACTCCCCTGATTGACTTTTTGGACTGTTAATTTCCTAAGAGCTGGGCTTTCTTTTCTAAGGACTCAGTTATAACAGTACCGGAAGGGAATACAGCTGGTGAGGGTGTTGAGTGCGAGACATGACCCACTGCTCAGAGTGGGCTCCCTCTGCTTCTGCCGCAGAGCCACGTTTCTATCTGCCAATCTTAGGATTTTTGGCTGCTACAAGGGCAGTCAGATGATGCAGCCATACCAACAGCTTTGAAAAGAAGCTAATGGGCTGTCTGTGTTCATCTTTTATTAAACACAGGCTGCTGAGCTTGAGGGAAATATAGATTAATAGTGGCATATGTGTTACTGATCTTGCTGGCCCACATTTGTTCACTGTGGCCAGTGTGGGTGGAGTGAAATACTTCAACCCTGCTTTTTCTAGGCACTTACATGTTTCCAGCCGCTCCTCAAGGAAGGAGATCTGCTCGCTCAGGGAGTCGATTCTGTCCAGTTGCTGGAGGGAGTGGGACAGCCGGCTAATGGGGTCTGCGCCGACGTCCTCCGGTGCAGATGGCATGAGGTTGTGGAATGGGGCCAGCACCAACTGGAGTTTCTGCAGGGAGACAGGAAGCCGTGAGCGTGTCCCCCCAGCCATGAGGACCACCCAGTGGGACGTAGCACGTCGCCTGCTGGGGTGCACCCCACCGGGGCAGCATGCCGGCCGGCTCATGGGGCTTTGGTTGCGTTCAAAGGGCTGCCGGGCTGGAAGAGCAGCCGCGTGGAGCACAGCTGGGATCGCTGCAGCGTGAAGCCAGCATGATGTTAAAAATAGAGCAGGGCAGAGGGAAACCCTGGCTGCGAACAGCCCAGGGCAGGAGCTGGCTGAATGTGGCCTCGAGCTGCAACAGGGCAGTTGAGGTGTGTGCTGAAAGCTCACCTGCTCCAGTGCTTCCACTCTGCTCTTCAGGTCTTTCATTTCTTCCTTCATTTCACTGGGGGGATCTGAAAAAGTGACCAAGAAAAGGTCAGTGAGTAAAAGCCCATTGCCCGAGGTGACGTGGAAGGCGCTGGGGAGAGACATTGCTGCAGGGCTCAGGCCATGCTCCACTGCTTTCTGCTCCCCTCCTAGAGAGCCCCTGGGGTCTGCGTGCTGCGACCAGCCCCTGGAGCATCAATCGGATTCAACGCCTGCTGCTAATGCGCACAAGCCTCTCCTTGCTGCTGGAGTACCTGCAACAAAGCGAGGGATTTTTCAGGCAGCAGAGTGATGCTTAAAGGATAAGAGGTCTGGTGAAGCCTGGCCTTTCATGCTGTGTTGTCAGATTAGTTAGCACCTGGGTCTGCCCTGTCCCGTGGTGGGCACAAAGGACTGTCCCTGCTGCGGGCCCTGGACACAGGATAAGGGCAGGTGGCTTGCGGGACAGATGCAAACGGTGCCCTGCTCTCCCAGGCGTTTCTCATGTGATGCCCGTGCTGGCTACAGCGCATTATTACTCACGGTACGAGTTTGAAGTGTCACAGCGCGTACCAAAAGTAATAATGGGCCGTCACCAGCGGCGCCTGCTGCTCCTCGTGGCTCCGGACTTGCCCTGCAGGAAGGACAACGATGATGATGGAGAGAATGGCTGCATCCTGGCCACCGCACACCACAGATGGGCTCTGTCACCCTTGCAGATGGAGCAGTGCACAGGGGAGGTTGGGTGGTAGAGGGACTCCGGGATCACTGGGAATAAAGCTGAGGGGTTCTGGCTGTCATCCCCTCCCCTGTCTTTTGCCAGTGCTACTCCAGGCACCCTGTGATGCTGAGTGTTAATCTCAGCTTTCACTGAAGGCCCCAGGCAGCCGGGGCTGTTCTGCAACAGGGGACCGATTACCTGCTTGGCTGAAGGTTTCTGGCTCGGGCGCTGGCACCAGGGGCTGGCACGCCTTGTCGTCGGCAGCGAGGCTGAAGCCATCCCGGCAAGCGCAGTGGTAGCTCCCGGCCGTGTTGATGCAGAGCTGACTGCACCCGTGGCTCTGGCCGGCACACTCATCCACGTCTGAAACCACAGGTTCGGCTCAGTGAGGACAGGGATGGTGAGGGGGCACGAACGGCTCAGCCCCAATAGCAGGGGTCCTGCTCCCCTCATTAGAGCCACATGGGCTCACGCAGGGTGGGGATGTGATGGGACCGCAGACCGAGCTGGCCTTTGTGCTGGGCACAGCTCCGGGTGCTCTCAGCACTGCAGGGGGTGAGCACAAGACCTGCCAGCTCCTGGGACAGCCTTGCACCCGGCTGGAGTAAATGTGGGCTAACCCCGAGGGGATTTGGACTCCTCCCCTCTGCCCGCTGCCCCCACAAAAGAGCCAGAAACAAAAACTGTGATAAAAATGTCCCAGCTCTGGCCAGGCGGGTGCAGGCAGCACTCAGCTCTCATCCTGGATTTATGGCCGGGGTTTTGGTTCCAGCCAGCCGTGGTGAGGAGCTATCAGCCTTTCAAGTGTGTACAAAACCCAGTAACCTCTCCTCACACGGGGGAGTTATTAAAGCTGTTCCCACAAAGCAAAATGAGCTGAGCTGCTTCCCACGCCCAGGCGAATCTGTTTTAGGCAGTGGGAAAATCCTTTCCCTCCTGTGCTGGAGCCGGAGCTGTCAGCGATGTGCTCAGCCCTGCCTGGCCCAGCGTGGGTCAATGCCACACGCTCCTCATCTGCCTAACAGGAGGGTGGAAAGCCGGGAAATGCCGTGGCAGGGGTTTGCACCACGCTGGTGTGCCGGGGTCTGCAGAGCACTGCTGCCCTCCACACTGCCTGATTCCCTGCACCCTGGCGAGGAGCATCAGGCTGCTCTCGTGCTGGAGAGGAGCTTGGTGCCTGGAGATTGCCAGGCTCCCCCTCCACCTCCAGATATTTTGAGTTTATGGATTTAGTCGCTGCAGTGAATGGGTGTCTCAGTTGACAGTTACAAAGCTTGGGAGACAGATACACAATATCCGGCTGACCCTGCAAGTGTAATGGCTGCTCTGCAGAAAGCCTGTTTCTGGCTGCACGGTCATGGCAGAGTACAGCCTCTGCTCACGCTGACCCAGCGCGGAGCAGCAGTGGAGGGAAAATGTGCATGCCAGGGCTGCACTCGAGGGCTGAGAGCACCGACGCAGCCAAAGGGAGGTCAGAGCTCCCCTGGGAGCAGAGCTTCCCGTCCAGACCATCAGGCATCACTGCCCTGGAGCAATACATGTAGGTGTGCGTGTGTGGCTGCATGCGTGTGGAGGGGCAACACACTGGCTCCCCTCTGTGGTCTGAGTAGCACCAGGCACACGCCAAGGCTTGGTGAGGAGCCACAGCGCTGGTCCTCGTCTCCCACCAAGGGATCAGTCTGTGGGCAGAGGACCTCCAGAGCCCCATGGCAGCCCCACTGCTCCCCGGAATAGGGCAGGCCCGACACATGGAGCCGGAGGGGAGCAGCTTGGCCCGTACCTGTCTGGCAGGCTCGCCCCGTCCAGCCGGGCAGGCAGGCGCATCTGCCAGGGAAGGCGCAGCTCCAGCAGAGAGCTGCGGGACCAAATACAAGCACAGCATCACCGGGCAGCTCTGAGGGTCCCCCAGCTCCCGCCACTGCCACCATGGATGCGTGTACACACAGTGCACACACGCCCACCAAAAGCCAGGGGCCAGGATGCTCTGCCCCAGCCCCGGAGCAGTGGGTTGAGCTGACTGGGGTGCACAGGGCACAGGATGGGTGGGGTGAACAGGACCTTGGTTTTGCAGCCTGGAAAGAGGCCGAGACACCTGCAGCCAGCACAGCCGGGAGGAGGAGGGCGGACGGGGAGCAGCAGGCCCTGGGGAGCCCCTGGTGCTGCGCTCTGAGCTCATCTGGGGACGGACTAGCTGATGATGTGTTTTGCATTTGTTTTGTGCTGTACATCATGATTGCCTCCTGAAAGCATTTCTTTTCCATTACTGCTGATTTATATGGAAAGGACTTACTTGTTTTATTTATCCTCTGGTAGCTATAAAGTTAATAAGCGAACCCAAAGGAAAAAGGCCTGCGAGGCAGCATAGAAAGGCTGGGAATTAATCAGAAATTGAACCGCATTTGGTTGTGACGCCAAAAATTTAAATGCTTTCCTATAGGGAGAATCCGTCTGACAGGCAGAGTGCGGGTAAATGAGAGAGCTGGCTGCCTCTCCTCATCCAGGGACCTGAGCTACCTGGCCCATGGGGTCTGGGGAAGGGGGAGCGCTGGCACCGGGGTGGCACAGCAGCCTCTTACCTCTGTTGCAGCTGAACGTGTGGCTGTTAGCTCTGCTCCAGCCAAAAAAAGGTCCCCAATCTGCCTTAGCCCCTGCTGGTAGGCAACCCTGTAGATGGTCCTGCAACGCAAGGATGGGGCTGAGCTGGGTGACCGAGCAGCTGCCCCAAGCCCCCCATCCCATTCCCACGCCAGTGGATCAGACCCCCTGTGCTGGCGCCCGCTGCCCAGGGGTTAGGAGCCCCTTCCCCATGGATCAAGGCAGGACTCCCCCTTTCTGCAGCCCTCACAGGTCGCTGCCCTGTTGGGACGCATCCGGCTCCCTCTCAGGGACCAGGTCCATGGCGCAGGCAGCTGCCCTCACCTGTAGGTGCTGCAGAGGCGGTGGCCCTGGCAGGTGGTGAGGTAGGGCTGGTAGACGGGCTGGACGTGGGACTCGGATTAGGCGGCCGCCCGGCTCTGCGGCACCGCGGCACAGACTCTGCGGCTGCGGAGAGGGGAGCAGGTCAAACACCAGCTAAAAACAACCCGCTGCTTCTCCCTTCGGGGCAAAGGGGCTGCACTGAGTTACAGCAGCCCAGGACACGGCCTGGCGGTGCCTCTCCACAGAGAGCTATTTAAACGGCAGCAGCTAATTGCCCGAGTGACCCGGGAGGTTACTTCAAGCTGTTTTGGGGCAGTGACACAAAGGCTGAGCACTGTGGGCTGCACGGGCTCTTCCTCTCCAGCCCCTGCACAAAGGTGCTGATGCCTCCTCGTACACCCACCCCAGCACAGTCCCTCCGTCCCAGGAGGGCAGACAGGTCCCAGATTTAGGGGAGATTTACTCAAAGCAGTTTTCTTTCTATTCATTGCCTCCCTTCTCCTAAAATCTTTCACTTTCTGGGTGGATTTTTCCTTTCTAAGACTTTTGCGCTCCTCAGACAGATGGGCCTGTGGTCACTGGGACAGTAGTGGTTTCGCAGGAAGGGTCAGGCTCACCACAAAAAAGCGGAGGCCAGAGGAAAGGCCTCCAGTCTTCCTAAGGCAATTGCGATCCAGTAAAAAA